GTTACTGCCACTATGAAAGAAAATGTGAAAAAAAATTGAAACTTATATTGGAAGATGCCCGAATAAAAAATGTTAGCAGAGATGACAAACCTATCTGTTGGTACTATATTTACTATTTTTCATGACCATCTTAACCTTTCAAAGGTCTGTGCAAGATGGGTGCCGCAAATGCTCATGGCGCCTCAGAAACAAGTGCGAGTGGAGTGCTGTAGGGAGTTTTTAGAGCTCTGTGGTGAAGATCCATCTAGTATTTCCGACTGGATTGTTACTAGAGATGAAACTTGGGTTCATCACTATGACCCTGAAAGTAAGCAGGAGTCCATGCAGTGGCATAAAAAAGGTGCTGACCCTCCAAAGAAATTCAAAGTCACTCCATCGGCCGGAAAAATCATGGTCACAGTGTTTTGGGACTCAAAGGGAATTTTATTGATTGAGTATACAAAAAAAGGTGAAACCATCAATGCAGCATCTTATGCAACCACTCTGCGTAATTTAAGAGAAGCAATTAAAGAAAAAAAGGTGGGGAAAACTGATCGCAGGTGTGTTGCTTCTTCACGACAACGCATCTGTTCACACGGTGCATGTTTCAAAGGCTGCTGTGCAAGACTGTGGTTTCGAAGAAATAAACAACCCACCCTATAGCCCAGACCTGGCCCCCATTGACTACTACCTGTTCCCGAATTTAAAAAAAGAACTTCCTGGAAAGTGATTTTCCAATGATGAAGAGCTCAAGGCGGCAATTAACGCACATTTTTTAGACAAGGAGGAAGGGTATTTTTATAGGGAATTGAAAAGTTAATTTCTAGATGTAATAAGTGTATTGAAGTTATGGGGGATTACATTGAAAAATAAAAATTATTGCAATTTATTATTCCTTTTTCTTCATGCTGATACTGAGAATACATTGAACGCCCCTCGTATGTCTTTTTTCCATTTTTAGAATAACCACAGAGGACCTTCACTGGATCTTAAAGGCCTCCCCATGGTAGAATCCTGATTTGGAGTGAGAATCTTGTACTGTTCTAGAATAAAAATAAATGGGGAAAATGTAGTAGTTACTAACACATTTAAAGTGGTGTGTGGCCTGAAGGCACTAACCTTGGAAATCAGCATAATAGGTAATTTGAATTTAATGGCCCTGTTGTTCTTATTTGCTTCTTTGTAATCTGCCTAGATAGCATTTTGGAGTAATTAATGCAGAATATTAGTTGAATAAACAAACAAACAATCAGCACTGAACTGACCCTTGGGGTAAACTTCAGCAAGTATGAACTGATCAAGTGTTAAGCATATTATATGGCAGTAAACTGTCAGTTACTTGGTTTATTAGTATTGCAACTACAGTGAAGGGAAAGATGCTATTCAGGGGATAGAGGGAGGCAAAGAAAGAAAGAGGGATTTCCCTTAGGCTTCAAAACATCTTAGTTTGTTTTTGCTTAAAGATGTTCCTGTAATGTGAACTGGCTCCTCAGGCCCAAGGGAGCAAGGGAAGGGTTAACTCTACAGCAAATTAAATATTATAAAATCCAGGTGCCAGTGCAGTAGGAATCTGGTGCCAGAGGTCCTGGGAGGCATCCTCTTCCCTTTGTGATGTACTCTGGGAGATATCAGAAATTATGGCCTCACGGATGCAAGGGATAACACCTCCAGCTGGGAATGGCCCCAGGATTGAGAGATGACGGGGGTCAGCTGACCAGGCTGGAAGGGGGAGGATTAAGGCTGGTAAGGAAAGAGGGTCCTTGTTCCTCTTTCAGGAGGTTCTGTTCTGCTGACTGCATGCTGTGTCACAGAATGCTGTGAAGCCGTGTGTTGTGACCCTGCAGAAGGTATACTTTTGGTATATAGTTAAAGATAGGGTTAGCTTTGTTATTTTCCAGTCCAAGTGGGCCAACAAGGCCCTCAGATTTGAGGTTTCTTGGCTGGCTGTGAACTGTATTACTGCTGTCCAACTTCCCTCCCTTCACCTCTTAGCACCCGCCACTCATATTTTATCCTTTTAAATAAACTTGTTCCCTAAGGACGCCAGCCACATCAAAGATGCTTACACAGATTTGGAGGAGGAGGAGGAATGTCTCAGAAAGAGTGGAAAGCTTGGGTTGGCCTAAGTCCTGGGATACAACAGGAGGGGGGGGGGTGATTGTCTCAAGGCCATCCACTTTGCCACGCTGAACCATTCCTGAGAGCAGCTTGAATGGACAGCCAGTGGGAGCGGCTGCAGGGAATAAGGGACTCTTGGCAAGGTATCAGCAGAGGTGAGAGACCCAGTTAGATGAGCACTGAGTGGAAAGGAGATGTGCTCATTTTCAGAGAGGCCCTCCCAAAAGGATGAGATACAAACATGCTCATAAGGGAAGTTTTGGGAAGTAAAATCTAGATTGGGTTCAACATACTATTTTGTGTATGCTCAGAGACTCATCTTGATTATTTATATTTGGAAGCAATAAAGAATGTTTTGCAAGAGAAACAGCCTGAGGCTGGTGTTTGTTTGAAGGAGGAAATGCAGCTCCTGACAATACCTTATGTAGATTTTTTCATTCATTCATTCAACATGTGCAGGGAGCAACAGTTCTGAGCAGCCATACCCTACTCTGTGCATGGTAACTAGCCCTGTCTCCTAACAGCCATCAGAATAGTCCAGCTTTCCCCAGCATGGGGCTCTCCAGATATTTTATAAGCCCACTTCCTAGCCAATCTGCGCAGTAATGATGGGAACTATCCTTCAAAACATCTGCAGTGAACCAGCTGGTGAAGTTGCAATAGCCTTTTAAATATTTAATTCCTAAGTACTTTATTTCTGACCAAGCTATGCATGTTGACTTCATGTTACTGGCTTTAAAGTATTTCTTTCATTTTATCTCTGTGGATGTTGAACAAGAGCACTGTTTTGTGAACTGAGTCCAAGAGAATATTTCATCATGATCAAAGAAAGCATTTATCAGGCAAGACCATTTATATTGGCAAATTTTGAAGGTTACCAACTAACCATTCACAAATCAGGGTAGCTATGCAAATAACTCCTTCTTTACCCTGGGCATTACCTCTGAGATTTTAATTTTGTGGTAAAAGCAATGTGTTAAATTTTAACTGACCTTTAAGAGACTACTTAGTTTTCCCATGTTGTATAATCTCAAATTAATTGGGAATAGTACATACCTGTATTTACAGTTGTGTGAATGACAGCAAATGACTGAAGGCTTTAATTCCTTTAACTGGCAAATCTTTCCTGAGAAACTTATCTTTAATAAAATAAATTCTACTTTCACTTGCTTATATTAAGCTCTCTTTTTATAGTTCTGCTTTCTGTGAGCATGTTAGTAATATTAACTAAGACTTGATGAAGCCATAATAGTGCCAATCTCTTAATTATAGGTAGGAGTTTAAGAGCACCTTCCCAGCCCTTTCCCCCTTTCCTGCAAACATTTCTACCTCTATTTTTGGAATGGGGCTGGAAGTAACCATTAAATGTCATTAGGTCTGATCATTTTCTTTTACTAATTACATTTATCTCTAAATCAGTTTAGATTTAGAGTAGTTTGCAGCCATGATTAGAACTGAATTGTACTAATATATTATGAAGTAACCATGATTAGCAAAACTGTGAATGCAATAATCATGGTTATTTTAAAAGGTAAAAAGGAAGAAGAAGGGCACATTCAATAGATGTTCATTTCTTGTAGCTCATTCATTGGAATCCTGCAAATCACAATTCATTTCTTCAAAGGTTATTGGGGCTGGGGCTGCAATATATACACATTCTTGAAGTGGAAGGAAAAACAGGAAGTGGAATGGCTTTGTTTTATATTTATGTCCAGATTCAGTTCTCTGCGTTGGAAATGAGATACAGTTTTAGGACTGCCTGAAAGGTACTGGAAAAACATTTAATCTCATTCTAATCTACTTTGTGCACTGTCATATATGATTATGCATGGATGTATGGTTTCAATTGTACACATTCATTATTTATTAAGGCAAAAGTAAGAATACAGAAGCACAAATCTGTAGCTTCAGAACATACATATGTTCAAAGTAATAAACAGTATCCTCCTCTTGAGCTACTTGTGCTCTAGGGCAAAGGTAAGATTTCTAGATTAAGAGCATTCCAACACTACTATTCTATGAGCAGGCAACCTGTTGCCTCCCAGGTGCTTTAGCTTCCAATTACAGAAAGCCCTAACCCTGGGCTGTATTAGCTAATGCAGATGCCTATACCTAGTTGCTTCAAAAGATACACCTGCCAGTCTAGTACAGCTTGGATAAGTATTATGATTTGATGGGGATATGCTTACTGATATACATTTTCTTTACACAGAGGATAGGCAGCTATCCCTTGCCCATTATGAATGAGCCATCTAATTTAATTTCATTGAAGAACTGATGCCATCTTTTAAAATTCTTCCTTTCCTGCTTCTCTGCTACATTACCTATAGGTGGCATGGTGGTATAGCAGGATAGCACTAATACACACGTGAAAAATGTCATTTCTTATATATTTGCAATTAAATGACACATTTTCCTGACTTTAAAAACAAAGAACTTCCTGAAATTGTTTGTTAGACTCAGAAGTGAAAATGGTCACAACATTGTCTAAAGAATCACTAAACAACTGTGAGTAGGAAATGATTAATGCACCAAAAATGCCTCATGCAGATAGGCCTTAGATCAGGGGCTGGCAGAAGGCAAATCATGGTCTACTTATAAATCTCTGTGTGGTTTGTAGTAGACTGGCAAGGATTTCTGATTCCCAATTGTTTAATACTATCGGCAACAAAATGACTCACCTGAACCCCAGATTATACCACTGACATGAAGAAAGCTTGGTAAGTGTTTTTTAGCAGGCAGTTCCCCCACACTTACAGCCCTGGACCCAAAGAAGCTCCAGATAAGCTTTGTTTCCCTTTTGTTTCTCATGACAGCTGTCAAAAGATGTGACTTGTGTGTGTGAAGAGGTAGTGGAATTTATACACCTTTCACGGGAAGATGCTTTTTTTTTTTGTCCTAAGGCTGAAGACTCTTGTCCCATGTAAGGCTGAAGACTCTTGACTCCATCTGCTCAAGAACATGGTAATGTATGACTCGTCCATCTTTAAAAGGAGCTGTCAGTTTTGATAGCTAGTTGTCAAAACTCTGGCTCCTATTAAAAGAGAGAGACAGCATGTGTGTTTCACTATCAGCATGCCAGTTCCTTTTAAAAGGGGGGTGGAGGTGCCTTGTACTTTTACATGTTTTTTCTAAGTTTTTTCCATGTATTATGATAGCAGGTATACTCCCCGCACCCTAACATTGACCCAAATGAGTTCCTGTAATGGCAGAACTGCACATGTCTGCAATTGCACGAGTGCAGCAAAAAAAAAAAAAGTTTTGCATCAGTGACATGTTCAGTTAAAAGGTACAGTTATCAGGTAGAGGGGGAAGGATTGAGAAAATCTTCAGTCTGATGCTGAAGTCTTATATACACCTGTATCAGGCATGTAGGAAAGGGCTTTCTTCTGCACTGTTCCCAAACTCTAAAGCACAGTTCCTCTACTCTCTCTGCATTTAGGAAGGCAGTCAAAATCTATCCCTTTAATTTAAAAAATGTTATAAATTTTAATACTCATAATGTTGCTTAAAATTATTTCTGTATTTGTTTCTTATTCTTCTTAAAGTTCTTTTAAACTACCCTGGTAGGTTATAGGAATGCAGTATACAAATGTAATCAATTTTAAATTACAATAATGTGATTTGGGTAGTCACTGCCAGCCAGCCAAAAGAAACAACATAGGTTGAGTGAGATGGATGGAACATCTGGCTCAGAATAAGGCAAGTACATGCATACATTGTCCAGAACAGGATCCTGTGTTACTATTGTTTGGGCAGTTGAATTAGACAGCTGATGGGACTTCTGTATATCTCTTTTGCTTAAAACTGGAAAATGGAAAAAACACTCTTTGTGCACTGCTTAAGTCAGAATTTGACTTTCTTAAATGTCAGCAAAATCCATGCAGCTTATAAGAAATACTTCTGTATGTATAATTAGCTCAGGGAAGCATACCAGTGATACTCGGTCGGCTTCCTATTTTCTATCACTGTGTGCAAAAGCTCACACGCCCCACACACACCCAAGAAAATCAGCTAATGATTAACATGCTGCAAAATAAGTACTTGTTCCTCAACAGGGCCTCTTGGACAATACTGCTGATGTTTTGCTTTTTACGTATATTGGCCAATATCCCAGTAGGACAATGAACTTGGAAACACGTGCTGTTGAGAGACCTGCTTGCTCCTTCCAATGTTGTACAATCCTGAACCTGAAAACACTGCTGCTGAGCTTCAAGGAGGCAATCAGTCTCTGCCCATGACCATCACTTAGGAGGTCATCACAGGCATAAACATGATCTCCAACATTATTTTTATTTTAATTGTAGGCTTTCTTTGACCTATAGCAGTTTCATTTTATCCTGAAATGTGCATGCCAGGTAAAATATAATACACTCCCTCATTCTGTATTAGGTTACATGGTGGTGTGTTCCATGTATTAACAGAAAAAAATATTTAGGTCATGTTTATAGTGTAGATTTGTGATGTGTCATTTACATAAGCTATTTTTCTCCCCATTTCAAGGGTTCCTTTGTGTGGGTAAAATAACGTGTGAATTATTTTTGCATGAAATAGGAACTCCTGTGAGATGAACTCAAAATACATTGGTCCAATACTACATTATGCTGCTTGAGGATTTTAAAAAAAGATTTGGTTTTAAAGGTTTTTGCAAATATAAGTGTATGACAAGTATGCTTCCCACAGTTTTACTATTAGTCCCACTGGGGAAACAGCATTACTTTGTCAGAAGACGAGCAGTAGCCTTCCTCATGTGTGTGCCTTCCAGATGTTTTAGACTACAATTTCCAACATTCCTGATCCTTGGCTATGCTTCACAGAGGCAATTCAGGGTGGAGGCCATTAGGATGTTGACTCAGCTATAGAGGCACCCATGAAATCCAGTCATTTACAGTGATCCCTCACCAGGTACCCCTTATGCATTTTTGTATTTCCACAATGGTTAGGAAGCACATGGGAGGCAAGGAGTGAGAGAGGTCTGGCTTAGTAAAATACCTCCTATGATCCTGCACTGTCATGGAGATGTTTCAGGCAAATATCAGTTCCTAAGGATAAAAGATGCCAAGACTTAGTTTAATCTCTTAACTCTGATAATTACTTCTTTCTAAATGAGATATGATTATTCCCTCCCATGCCTAAAGAAACAGTTTTCCTAAAATTATTGACATGCATTCCATAAAGGTGCCTCATACTTCATACAGCAACAGGCAGTCTCTCCTCCAGTAAGAGAGCACAAGTGTTTTGTTACGAGCTATTTCACTTTTTACTACAGGGTATTTATTCCCTTACATAGAGCACCTCAGCCTTTCCTTCTCCTCTTCTCTGTTGGTGGCAAACTAATCTTTTGCCAGGTGTTTCAGTCACTGCTTCTCTCACAGGAAAGTTGACCCACCCAGGGAAAAGGCCTGCAGGCCTTCCCCCACAGAAAGCCATCTCACAGATACTAAGTATTATAAGATGCTTTTTGTTATTTAAAACACTCAGTTAGGAGGATTGGCCTCACGTCCATGCAGTACACTCATATTTGGGTACTCTTTCTGATCAACGAATCTATTCAATGAATTGGCTGCCATGATACATGCTGAAGAGAAAGCGCTTGCCCAGGATTAGAATCCCCAGGTCACCAATAGGTGATCTTTCACAAATTGCTGCTGAGGGTCTATCCACCTCCTCAACAGCAATTCTATTCTCCATTTGTTTATTTTTAGTATTTATTAATTTACTATAGTTACAGTCTACTTTTTTCCTGCGGGGAGCCCAGGGTGGCTTACATGGTCCTCCTCCTTTTCTCACAACAACTCTGTGAAGTCAGTTAGGCCATGAGTCAGTGACTGTCCCAAAGTTTGCATATTGCACCCAATAATGTCAAAACATCTCATAAGAGAATGCTCAACTTGTTTACTCCACAATGTCCAGTTAAAGAGAAAGAAAGGAATTATATAGCTAGAACTGAGCAGTACATGCATACACAGATGCATCCTTGTTCATCACTATATGTGTATTTGCTTCTTAATGTAGTAAAAGTCTTGGCACTTGGGCAGCAGATTTTCAACTCTGCAACTGTAGATAGTTGACCTCAGTTTGAACCTTACTTATTTTTACACATGGAGCTTGTAAATTGATAACAAGAATGAGCGGTTGGTTTTTAAAATCATCTTATGATGAAGGCTCAGTTAAAGATATCTGCCAGAACTATATTCAGAAGGCATTTAGCAATTTAGGAATGCTTCTATTTCCTGCCCTTTTTTGTGCCCCAAAAATATTTGTAGTAGCTCACAGAAAATGGCAAAGCACAAGAGCTGAAGGCCTCTGTTCATAATGTTAAAAAAACACATTCATGCTGGTGAGCCAGTTTCATCCAGAAAGGAGACCCTGCCAAAGTAAATAATTCCAGGGAGCAGCAAAGATAAGAAGGAGGCAAAGGAAGGGCTTAGCAGAAATTGCTGGGGTATAAAGGATAACAAAAACTTAGCAGAGGTTAAATCTTACTTGCAGATATTGAAGCGTCCTAAAGACTTCCAGTGTGATGGATTCAGTGGGGGAAGATATCAAATGATTGCTTCTCCTTACACTCACTTTCTGATAACTGAAAATAATTTCTAGAGGTATCCAAGGGCCTCTTTCTGAATTGTAGATGCTGAATTGTGGCAGCAAAAGTAAAAATTTCTGTCAGGACTAGAACTACACTTCAGTTGCAGTTTGCATCTAAATAACATTTACGTGTATATAAACACTTGAAGAACTGCAAATATTTTGGATCATTGGTTTGTATCATTCATTATACTCAATTCTCCCATGGGGAATGCTTAAGAAATATACTGTGCTACTTTTTTCTGTGTACTTTAGTTATTGGAGAAGTCATTATTAAAATTAAGATGTTTTAATAAAGTTTAACAGTTTTTTAAAAAATAAAGGTTGGAGATACATTGGATGGGTTTACAGAACACTTTAAGCCCAAGATGACTTAAAGTTAGCTTCTGCCTGACAAACAATCAGATATATTGAGGAACCTAAGATACCTCCTTCCCCCTCAGTCCCAGGTGGCACTTGAATGCAGCTGTCAGAGCTTCCCCACTGGTGATCTGGCAGAAAGTGACTGCTCAGTAGCAGTGGAGACAAGTTATACTGTGCTCAGAAACTTTTCCACGAGGCCAAGGAAAACACAATTTATTCCCCCTTCCTGTCACCTGCCATGACACCATATAGGCAATCTGGATGGCTCTCATCAGAGGTGTAAAACTTTTTGCTGTGCTAACCGAACAGCACTGTAGGCTTCAGAGCTTCACCTGGACTTCTGTTATCTGGGATTGGGTGACTTAACATTTTGTCTGAATACAGCATCCATGCATTAGGTGGCTCTTTGTGGCTATGAAGCCACCCAACAAGCTATGGTTTGCTGTAAGATTTTGTAGTTGTCCTTTGGCTTCTTGTGTCATCTTCATCTGGATGACATAACAACCCTATGTGAATCTCTGATGCCTACAGAGCCACTTGGTCAGAGTGGCAGAAAGGCTTGCTGCTCTGGTCAAACAGCGCTGAAAAAAACCAATGAAAGCTGACCAAAGTGGCCAAACATTTCTCTACCACTACCTGCTACCATGATTGGTTCATAATCATAGCAGTTGACAGATAATAAGCTGTGTTCTTCTAGGCTTCTCCTAAGGAAACTCTTGAGAATGCAGGTCATCTCTCTACCCTTGCTCATTATGGCATCATGGGTATCACACTAAGCAAAGGCAAGCTGCATTCTTCTGGTCTTCAGGAGACCACCCCCCCCCCCGCCTCCTGCTGCAGTCATGGGGCAATCATGGCAGTGGATGGAGAAAGAAAAACAGCATGCTGCTTGTTTCCTTCCTCTAAGGAATGCCTTATTACCAAGCAGCTTCTCTTTGCTGGGATAAGCAGCAAGGAGCCTCAGACACCTGGCCCCAACTACTGCTTGGATGTTTTTGGGTAGCTTTCATCCCCACTTTCTCCCCTTAGTGCTCCCATGGTGTTTTTTGTGATACTGGTGGAAGGACTGAAGGGGGAGAGGGAAGAGGAGGTAACTCAGGACCCCTGCTGTGCCCAAACATCTGTTGCAGGCCCTGGGGCAAGCAAGTCACACACCATTCCTTTCTATGCAGTGTGGCTTGTTGTGTCATGAGAACCTGACTATCTGATTTACACTATTGAGAACAAGCATGAGGGCAGGCTTGGACAGGCATTTTCACAGGAAACTAGTTGTGCCACTTTTGCTGATTCACATTCAGAATAAGAAACTGAATATTTTGATAGGATTGAAGAACAGGGGTTTGTTCAAGGTCCTGAGAGACAAAGGGAGAAGAAGGAGGTGGAAGAGATTAGCCCAAGCTCAGACACAGAGGAGATAGACCCTGCGACAGTATGAGATAACAGCCAGTGGGAGGGGGCCACTGAGACTGAGGAATCCTCAAATGGAGACTAGCCCTTCACCTCAGAACTGGCTCCTATGACCAGGCATCAAAACAGATAAGAAGCCCAATTGGATGAGAAGTTTGTTGAATGGAGGCATGTTCCATAGTGCTCCTCCTGGAGGGTTGGGATACAAACCAACTCATAGGAAGAGTTTCCGGAAGTAATCGCTAGGTTGGGATCAACAAACTGCTTGAGGCTGGTGATTGTTGGAAGGAGGAAACATGGCTTGCAACATACCCACCCAATTAAGCCATGGTGGCTTATGAAGTGGAGTAGCTTGTTGCATTGATCCAGGCTGGAGAAGTTAACAAACAATGTTGCTGAATTCAAACAACATGACAAGCCAACATGGCTTATAAAATACCATCGCTTATTGTATTATGTGAACCTATACCATCGCTTATTGTATTATGTGAACCTAGGCAATATTTTTATTTTTATTTTTTTGGAAAGCTGAAATAAGGATCACTGTTTATGTATATATATATTATAACATGATAAACAGATGTTTCAAGAACTGCCAATTTTGTTTGGCTAAAGGTAAGTGTTGTACCAAAGAAATGTGTATGCACATATTGGGAATTAAAGCCTATATAGTGTCAAATCATAGGTTGTAAGGTTTAAAATAGGTGTTTGTCTTCAGCCAAGGAATTATGACATTTCAAAGGGGAAGGAGTTTTGCAAAATGTCTTTAATGAAGAATGATCAGATGTTTGTATATGGTCACTGTTAACTACATAACTGTTACTGTCTGTACTTTTGTGTGTTTAATTTCTCTCAGACATCACTATTTTACCACAGTCACACCCGCACTCACTGTGATATATGTACCCTACAACTTAGGAAAGTGCTTCTTGCATCTGATGAAATGGACTCTAGTCCATACTTTTGCTAAAATAAAATTGTTGGTCTTTAGTAATTCTGTAAGACACTGAATTGCTTTGGTGCAACAGACTATCTCTGCTACCCCTAGTTTTAAGTTATAGAGCTGTTTTAATGTGGATTTACACAGATTTAACATTAAGAATGCCTATTCTCACTATTCGTGATGGTTGATCAAATGAGTTGCAATACCACCTTTCCTAAAGGAAAGTCTTATTTTTCTATGCACCAGGGGAGCTTTGGAGCCCTTCACACATAGATAAAGCTTTAATCCTCTAGTGATAAAATACCACTGCTTGCTCCTTGCTGGGACTGTGTCAACACAAGTTTTTTGCAGTGGTATTTGCTTCCTTTCCTTCTGCTTGACTTACATACAGTTGTATCCCAAGGGCTTTGTACAGGTAACAGCAACCCTTTAGCATGACAGAAAGAATGAAACATTCTCCTACCAAGGAACTTGCAAATCAGCCTCCAGCTGTCCTCACTAGCTAATAGGAGTTCTAGTCCAAAACAAAAGGCGGGCACTAGATCTGAGGATGCTGGGCTAAATCAGCATAAGAAAAGGAAAGACAGAAGCGCAGAGGAATATGATCCCCTGATAACATGGGCAGATCAAGTCACTGTAAATGCAACCTTCCCCAATCTGGTGCCCTTCATATGGAGAGAGCCTTGTGGCTAATTGGGTGGGATTTTTAAATTATTTCATGATTAAAACAGCCTATACGATTGGTGTAAAACCTATGCTGACTAAAATATGTATATACAGTATAATTATGTAAAAAGTTTCAGTGTTCAATGGGCCCTAATTCAATGTAAGCGTGCATAGCATTGCAGTCTTTCAGCACAATCCTATAGATGCCCCACTAAATCCCAATAATTGCCAGGAAACTGGGTATATGATTACACCCTTGTAGCACAATCCTATCCCTGTATATTCAAAAGTACATGCCATTGCATTCATGT